GTGGAGTGACTTAGGGCCAAGCCAGCTGTGGAGGCTGCAGGAAGTACTTTTGTGCAATAAACGCGGGCTTCATCAGCCTTATAGCGGTCGCTTCTGCTGCTGCTGCTAGCAGGCGTTGACCAAGGGACTTTGGATAATTTGATGGGACCTTGTAGATCACTCGGAGGGCTTCGTTGGGATCCACTCAATGTCCGGATTCGACCATGTGCGCCAGAATAGAGCTCTTTATGCTCCTGACTTCACCCTTTCTCAGCAATGCCGGGAGGTGTTTCTTTATTCTTTTGGATATGCGCCGGCTTGTGCGACTAATGTAATCCGCTCTACAGGAGCAAGTGAAAGAGTAGATGCACATCGAGGCGGTCTGAGTTGGTAACCTATTCTTAACATGTTCGTCTTTTCGTGAGTCGTGAGCCATGGAATAGGGGTAGGGGTCGATAAGGGAAGGCTGATTATGCAGAAAGTGCTTGATAGAGCCAGTATAGGGGGGCAGAGGGGGGAGGGCTGAGAGGCAAATAAAGCGCAGAAGACTGCATGCAGCTAAGTGACTGTGAGTCATGCCGGAAGCAGGAGGTACTTTTGTGTACACAGCGCCGGCTTCCTGAACCTCAAAGCAGTCGCTCCTGAAGTGCTAGCAGGCTCCTGTATACCCTCATCGAGAAGTGTTAAGACTAAAAATGCTTACCCTTAAATACTGCGGTCTTCCAGGCCCGGTCTCTTAGGAGAGGACAGAGAAGTCTTGAGTAGGCCAGAGTGCTAGGTATAACAATATCTTTACAGAATGAATTGTAGAAGAGGCGATAGGAGAATGACTATAGGACGCCTGCACAACTGCAAGCCAGCGGACGGCGTCTGAGGTAAGGTCCGCTCTGCAGTCATCACATGAAGGCCTGCCTGAGTTGTCCTGTGATTGGCTGTTACAGAGACCGGAAACAGTCTGCAGTTCAGAATGTGCACTTCGACTTGAGCTAGTCACGACAGGCGTTCACAAGTGCACTTCGTGTCGAGCCAGTCACTACACGCTCGCCAAGTAGTTTGCTGAATGCCCTAACGAGAATTTTTGCAATTCTAGAGGTAGTTACAAGGTTCTTTTGAGCGCTCAGTCCCGGTCTGCGTAGTCCAATGGCAGCTGCTTCTGCTCTAGCCAACGGATGCTCTCGAAATAATTTTAAATAGCTGAAAGGCACTTTGTAGATCACTCGGCGAAAGTCGCTAACACAACTGCCCACGGCTTATCAGCAGCCTCGGCAACGGGTCCCCCGCATAGACGGACAAGTTCCTAATTAAACCGCGCACACCTTATCAGCTGTACTGACCGCTGGTCCGCCTAGACAATGACACCCTGACCTCAATACCCCCCTCCCTCGGCACTGACAAGAAGAACACTACATCTTTCCACCAACCAGCATAGTACATTTAATTAACTATCATATAAATTTCCAGGCCTCAGGCGAATGTATCGAAAGCATGCTTATGCTTGACACTTTATCCCTTTACATTTCAAATGGTATTTTTTTCCAATTGAGAAGTAGTCCGTATTCGCTGTATCTTATAGGGCTTTTCATCCAGTACCCATGTAACACGCGCAACCGGATTTTCGAATGGAGCGGCTCAAATCACATATATGTAACACTGCCAAATTAACCACTGTAAGAAATTGTGCTTCGACCTTCACTCTGGGTCTGCTATTAACTCTTCAATGCATCTATGAGGAGTATCAATTTGCACACTCCTATTTTGCGGCCGAGGACCGCCATAAAGTAAGAGGTGGTGGCCGGCGAAAGGCTGCAGCCAATCAGTATGTACTACATGACCCAGACCACGCGATGCCAGGCCTCTCGCGTACGAACCAATCATTAGCCGGCCGAATATTCGAGATTTTTAAGGAGAGGATGCTCGCCCGAGAAAAAAACCGACTAGTTCTCGGAGGTTCTCGACTTCACTGAGCAGGGGGGGGGGCATTCCCGTTTGTCGAGGTAGTAAAGGTTAAGGCTGCAATCTTCTAGGCCCGTTTCCTTAGGAGATGGGAGAAACGCCAGAGTAGAAGGAACAATGTATTGTGT